CAATGATCTTCCTGTTAGTGGTCGACTGGGTGATGCATCAGACAATTAAAACAGGAAAAATCGGAATCCAGTGGTCCCTGACTCAACTCCTTGAAGACCTGGACTTTGCGGACGACTTGTGCCTGATATCCCAGAAATGCCAACATATGCAACAGAAAACCGATAGCCTAGCCCAAGAAGCATCCAAGACTGGATTGCGGATCAACCTAGAGAAGACTAAAATCATGACCCTGTTAAAAAAGCAGCAGAAGCCAATCAGCCTTGAAGACAGCGAGCTGGAAGAAGTCACCTCTTTCACCTACCTGGGCAGCATTGTATCAGCATCAGGTGGTTCTGACGAGAACATCAAAGCCAGAATCGGGAAAGCTAGACACGCCTTTATTACCCTGAGACCAGTCTGGAGGTCAACATCCCTATCTGTCCACAATAAAATATGAATTTTCAACAGCAACTTTAAGTCTGTCCTTTTCTATGGCTCAGAGACCTGGAGAGTCACCAACACCCTAACCAACAAACTCCAAGTATTCGTCAACGGCTGCCTTCGCAACATACTGAAGATCAGGTGAACAGATAAACTAAAGAATACTGAATTGTGGCAGTGGACAAACCAAGATCCCATCAACCAGCAGATTGCCAGGCGTAAATGGCGATGGATAGGACACACCCTGCGGAAACCCTCACAGGACATCACCCGGCAGGCCTTGCAATGCGACCCTCGGGGAAAGAGATGGGTCGGTCGCCCTAAGACCACATGGAGACGATCCTGTGAAGAGGAAATGAAGAAGTGCAACCTGTCGTGGGGTGAAGTGAAAAAGGCTGCCCAGAAAAAAGCCAGATAGATAGATAGATAGATAGATATGGATTTCTCTTTGAATCATTGGATGTCACTGGTGTTCATGACAAATTATTACTCATATTTGTCATGATGATGAATAATATATGATCTTAACAGTGGACAAAAATCTACAGGAAGCCCTTAATCTTATTTTTAGCCATACTTGTTGTCTGACTCTATTTATGTCAGTTTTTTATTTTGTTCCAAACTGAAATATCTCAGATGAAATTTTGTACAAACATTCATGGCCTGCAGATGATAACTTCTAATGATGCTGGGGGTTCCCACACTTTGGTAATACTTTGGTTTATGAACACACATACTTGCAAAATTACAAAAATTCCCATCAGTGAATGATTAGTGCTTATTACCATGCTATTAGCAGGCTAACTAAACTAAAAGCTGAACATGGTAAGAATTACCTGCTAAATATCAGCATTGTCCTAATCATTATGTTATCAGTAATAGCTGATGTTAGCATTTAGCACAAAGCACCACTGTACATAGTACAGTCTCACAGAGCTGCTTACTTACATAGTTTGGTGACAGTATGTGGATTATTTTCATAAGGTTTATATATTTGTCCACATTTAGGAAAAAGGTTAATGACTGGCTGTTCCCATGGTTGCAGCAATACTGTATGCAGGCAGGTTGACTCAGTACACTTTTCATTGTCAGTGCTTTTATTTAATACCAATAAAGAACCTTATCTACAGCTGTCATAGTATTTAAGACTGATAATATTCATCACCTCTGAGCTCGTAATCAAATCTACATTTACAGACAGGGAGCAGCAGGTGAGGCTGGGGAAAACCACATCCAGCATCTGGACAATAAGCACAGGTGCCCCCCAGTGATGTGTACTCTCCCCTCTGCTGTTTTCACTCTACACCAACGACTGCATCTCTAAGGACCCCTCTGTCAAGCTCCTAAAGCTTGCTGATGATACAACACCCAAAAAGCAGAATACCTCACACACCCTGCAAAATGAAGCACTACACACAAATCTACAAAAGCTTTTATCAAAATCAAACTTTTGCACCAAATGCCACACACTTTATTCACAATAACTGACTAATCCCCTGAGAAATACACACTGCCGTGCTAAATTCCAAACACATTTATCCTTTGTGGCCTTTTACTATTAGACGATTCTGCAGGGAAAGACCATTTTTTTCCTTCACAGCAAATTAGTGTTACATATAGCACAGGAGATATTACAGTTGTACTAACACAATATATCAATAGTATTGTAAAAAAAAAAAAAAACACAAAACAAAAACACAAAACAAAACCAAAAAGGCTGCATCCTGGTGTGGCCACAGCATTTCATCAACACTGAATGCAGTATCCTCCACTGGAAGAAATGCCTTGAGTCTCATACCCAGCCCTGTGCAGCCCCGACATCAACAGCATCATCTCTGTTCCATTGCCTGTAAAGGAGGCTCGCGCTCTTCCTCCTGTCAATCCTTCTCTCTCTCTATTTCAACCTCTACCTCCACCTGCTAGGTCAACTTCCATTGTTATTGTTACAGGTAACAGTGACCTGTTACCTGTAACAATAACAGATAACAGGCTTTTGTATATAGCGCTAACATCCTGATTAGTGAGTCAACAATTAAGCAATAAGGTGTATGACCAGGTGGCATAAGTTTTCTGCTAATTGGTTCAGGAACATATATTTTGAAAATGTTTTGATGGCCAAAAAGTGAGTTTATGGCAGATTTTTGTGTACTATGTAGAGAACTGTGTGTAGTGTTCTGCAGAAAGTATTATGTTAAACTGCAACATGGATGCAAAGCATACAACATGTTTAGAGTTTTGAAGAGTTTAACTGAGTTTTTGCTCCCTGAGTGTCAGCTTTGTTAATTGTGCCAAGTGTCATTTTAGTGGGTTAATAACTGAAACAAAAGTATATTGTACCTTACCCAAAATGTCAGATTAACAGACTCTGGTGGCCTGCCAAAACCAACATGACTCTCAGCAAACTGAGCAACCATCACTTCTGCACTTTGGACTCGACTGGGCTTTGCATAGCAACAGCCAGCGTTATATTTTCTGTCCATTTTACTGTAGCTGTACAGTCTTTTATTGAGAAGTTTTTCTGGCCCAGTAGTTCAATACTGCATCAGTTTAAATTGTTACATGAAGTTGAGGTAAAAATAAAACTTTTTCATATAAGCACAACAAAGGGTGCAACCGTTAACATGAAAGAATATTTTTTTCTTTTAGTGGGAGTGAAGTGGGCGTCTTGTCAAGTGCAAGAAGAGTAGATGGGCTAAAATCTGACACTTAATAGGTACTTCCCATTGCAGGAACGTTCCTCAGAGAGCAGAACATCTTGAGGAACTTGGTGTCCCTACCTGCATTTCCATCACAGCAACAAGGGTTTAAATTAAGTTCCAAGGCGCTCCAGGCTTTGCTGTCAATTTTCCCTTCATATCTTTTTTGATTACACTGTATGGTCACATGCAAAATGAAAGGCAAACAATGGAAAGCAATTTCCTGCTTTAGAAATGCTTTAGTCAGTTATTGGGAAGAACCTTCACCCCTGGGAAACACAATTAAAAGGAAATTAAGGCTCCTGGAACTGTCAGGTCCGCACGGCACGACCTGCCTCTCTTCCGCCTTTTCTCTCTCCCGCATGCTGTAGTCAGCGGCGCATTGGGTGATACGCACAGCTGAGGCGCATTCCACTACTAATCAGTTTCCTTCTTTATGACGCTCCGTCGTCGCCAGAGCATTAACGAAATATATGTATTTGTGTCATACATGTCTTGACTCAACCATAACAGGAACCTTTGGTTGAAATGCAGCTAATAGCACAGTCCTTGTCCTAAAGTTAGGACAATAACAACGGAGGAGGTGTTTAAGTTTATGTATACTGTATACATTGTATACATGTTCACTGATACATATGTAACTCTGTATAGGTTTTTCTGATCCACTGCATGATCCAAGCAGGGCCATAGCCCATATATCCATGTAACTCATATCTTAAGAAAGGTTGTAAATGGATCGGCTCTAGCACTGCGGGAGATTCCATCTGAAAAGACCCACATTCTCTCTTTAAATTTGTTGCTCATTAATTCAGTAAGACAATGGAAAATATGCGCCTAACAAAGTCCATTCATTCCAGCTCTTCCTGTAATTGCACGTACCGCACGTTGGCATGATACCAGATCAAACCAGAGGACACTGGCAGTGACCTAGGTCTGATCTACACACAAAAGATATTACTTAACTTTGCAGTGACTGTAGTGCTTGTGTGCTGTCACTCATAATAAGGGATTGAGTTTTTTTCTATGGTGTCTTATTTGGGTTTCCGTAGTTGGCTTGTAAACGGGAAGTTCTAGAAGTTAGTTCAACTGCAAGCAGACGATTTCTTTCTGATCTTTTAACAGTCCCTAAAGAACATATGTCTGTAAGTATAAAAGTTAAACGTGACATGTACTACATATGGTTGTGTTAACATGGTTAGATGTTTCTTTAGTCTACAATGAACATAAAACGTTACGATGTTAATCGCGGTAGCATGTCTATGGGATTTTCAGTACAAGTCAGCACGGAGCTAACATCACGTTATTGTGTTAACTATGTTAAACGCACCGTTATATATTTTGAATACTAATCAACTCAATTTGTGTGTATTTTGTGCTGCAGTTTCACAGTGTTTTCTTCAATAAAAGTCCTAAATCGAAGAAGATTGACCAGGTTTTTGCTGAAGGGACCTGTTAGCTATCTGGCAAGCTAAAAGCAGTTACCCACGGTTGGCGAGGCCAGAATAGCTTGTTTTCACCAGTAAATACTTATCATAGTTATAGTATATTTGTATAAAACCAACAAAACTACTTACAGCATTTTATCAGCATGGTCGCATTATTGCTGATCTACTGATCTTGCATTACAAAGCTGAACCTGGGTCAGTCTTGCTTGAGTTTTAGCTCGGCACTGAAACTTTTCAGGAACATGTAGTATACACTCACTGGCAACTTTATTATATACACCTGTACAGTTATATGCACTTCAGTGCAACACTTCTTCCACCTTAACATCTGTGTTTATGAAGCTGAAATTGTTTTGGTAAAATTGTCATAGATGTATACATTCAATTATAGGTTTATTACTGAGGCCATGGTTAAAGGTGGCTGGCGAGTGTATACTGTGAATACAAGTACAGTACCCTTGTTAATAAAGATCTAACTTTTCTGCCAATTGTAGTACTTTATCTGCCAGAAGATCATGCAATTTATTTTAAGAAAACTTACAATTCAGACAACAGTACAGACTTTTCTACATCTAGATTCTGGAAATGTTTATATGTTATATTAATATTCTACCATGGATTGGGGACGTTTTTTACTCAAGTATCAATAGCAGGCCACTAGGTACAGCTATTCAGGTTCATAAAAGGATCCAGTTTACTGTCTCCAGTACTCAGTCTGAGTTGCAAAAACAGGGTCTGAGTCAAAGGAACAATTTTATACAGGAATGTTAACCAGAGGGAACTTCTGTGGGAGGAAGCCTGAGTAACAATAGATAACCCACGCAGGCACAGGGAGAACATGCAAACTCCACACAGAACTTTCTTGCTGTGAGGCGACAGCACTAACCACTGTCTCACCATGCCACTCAGGATTCAAACTATTAATTTTCTTCCCAGGTTTCTTTTACTTTTTCAGTATCTTCCTTTTTTTTTTTAGCTAAATCTTTTTTTAAAAGCTTGATTGTTTCACGCTTTGTATCAGACACAACTGAGATTGAAAAGATTAGCTGATGTGACCCTATGTGCTTTGAACCATAAGTTTAGGGTGAAAAAAACTTGGAAAAAATAACTTTAGGGGCATAGTTAACATGCGGTGTATCTTTAACAGAATCTTTGGCTTTAATTCTGGTAGAACATAAGAAAACAATATTTCATATTACTAAACTACATTACAGGGGAACGTCCTAGTCATTCGTTGTATCAGCAAGGTTGTGTAATACAGTACCAGTCAAAAGCTGGGAAAGTGTGTTCATACATGTGACTGGTGGGGTATAGCTATATGATATATGTGCCTCTAGAGAAGCTCTGTTAAGTCTGAGTCACATACTCATGTGACATCACTTATAATAAATAACATCATTGTTGGCTTAGGGACCACACATATACTGTATAAAAAGTTTTCTGTGTTACAAAGTCTAGGTGTGCAGTTTGAAAGACATTGGCATTTACCAAACAGGGTGGTCTATCAAACGATGCTATTGCTTGTATGTTTTGTCACTTATATATTATTAGAATCTGTGAAGCACAAACACTGTTATAAAACCCAAGATCTCTGCTAAGAATGCCACGTATTTACCTGCAGACTCATTCAGGTTAAAGCAACCTTCCACAGGGAGAGGTGCCATTTAGAAATGGAGCTACACATTCAGGGCATGGCAACAAATTTGCTAATGCGATTACTTGAACTGTTCTGGAAAACTGTGATGGCACCAGTTAACAGTGCTGCTATTAAGGGATTCTGAATAAAATTAATAGACCTATTAACTGTACATAATGGTTTAATAAAATGGTTTAATAAATCAACATAACCATCAAAGTGCTTTCAATAATATAGATTATCCAGTGTATATGACACAGAACTATTAATGCCTGACAGTGTCTTTAGCAGTATCACACATATGATTTAAGGTATAGTGGTTAATTGATTTTCAGTCAAGATGACACTTAATTGTGTAAGGTATTATAAATATGAAGATATTGCCTAAGAGTTTCAGGAAGTAACCTACAGTATTTCAGTCTGTTTCCTTCAAAAAAAATTATCATAAAAATATTCATTGGTTTTCAACAGCCAATCCAATATGAGGAGGAAACATCCTGAAGTCTATGTGATGATATGTCAGCATATGTGGTTTGTTTGTGTCTTTGAAACCATTAAAGAGCCAGTAGACTTTTTTCAGTTAAAGAGGCCACGGCATGTTCATTTCCAGCCAATTAATGTTTAATCTTGGGTACCTCTAGATTAGTTTTGCACCCATCTTAAATCCAAATAGTCTGTAATTATTTTAGAACTATAAAACTCAATATCACAAGGAGAGTCTCTTCCTGAAAATGAGAGGATAGTATGTGAACGGCACAACTCTTGTTGTTTGTCAGGAAGCCAGGACAACATATAAACAAAAAAACTTTGACAAATAAGCTATGTTTTTGACAATGACAGTACCTCAAATACTACCTGACATGTTTGAGCCAGAATATGAAAGTGGACAGCATGATGAACGGCAACAGCATTAATTAATGTGAATTTCTCCTCCATAGATAGATAAACAACGATATATGTACAGATGAAGAGATGTGTAACACTCTACACAAAGTGGCTAATTGAGAAACCCCATATTTTAACTGGCATAATTCAGACATAGTAACTTCTCCAGCCTTACAACGATTCTCTCTAACGTTACAGAAACAAGGAAATAACAGACATGCAACGTATTTTTTTAAACTAACCATTAAGTCCCACCGAGTAGTGGAAACAACACTCCCTTTCAAATAGCTTCAAGGTCAGTAAATCCAACCGGTGGTTGCTGCGTCTTCCCCCACTCGACCACATACAGTCCCAAAGTAGTGAAATTAATTCCAACAATAACATCATGGATCATTAATCCACTCATTAACCAGCAACATGTAGCAGGTTTAAACAGGTCCTGTGCTCCAGGGAATCCAATGTTGATGAGCTGATCAGTCACAGCCCCAGGGTGCTTCACTAGCTGTAGGCTTCAGGCCACAGACAAGCTCACACAGGCAGGAGAAAATGATCATTCAAGGAAATATGTAAACTACTGCTCAAGACTTTACATAGTTGGGGAAAAAAAGTCTTGTCAGTGAGAATTCCGGAGACTTGTATAAACTGAGTTGCTTCTGCATAGAAGTACAACAACATAGGTACATGTCATTTTTTGAGCTTTCAGTCAAATTTAAGGTGATAAGTCATCATTGTAACACTGTAGATAAGTCAGAAAACACAGAGAAGAATGACATGGGCTCTCCAAATAAAAAGGCTGATCATTTTCTATTTTAATAGTATTTTCACCACTACCCTTACAGAAACTAAAACCAGCAATAATGCTGTTAATGTCTGTCTGTTCTGGATTATTAACAGGGAATGCAGAGATGTAAATAATAAAATGTATTATGACTAAATTCCATTTAGCAGCTTCATTTTCAGGGAGCTGGTGTTGTAGATGTAAAGATGAAATAAAAACAGCAAGTTTAAAACTTAAAAATTGGAGAGGACAGTTTACCGCTCCAAGAAGCAAGTCCTCAACCACACTGTTAGTTTGTCCCCACAATACCTAAGCAGTTTCAGTGACTATGTAGGGCAACATGAAATGTGAGGGGTCCTGACAAAGTGTGTGAGTACCTTAATGGATAAGTGCACAATTGCAAGTTTGTCTTAAGACAACATGCCCATATTGTATGTACAATAGTCACAAAATGCAAGTCTGAGACAAGATAGAAAACCTGTCAGTAGCAAACATACCTGACATTTAAACAACAGTAATGACATTAACAGTAATGTCAGTAACACAAGGTTAATATCTGCAACATTAGCTGTTCAGGATAAGTTTTCATTTGCCATATGAAGTGGATGACCTGATGTATTATATATTTGTCATACATTTTTTACAGAAGGCAATTTTTTGTTAAGCCTGGGGGTTTTGAAATACTTGTATCCAAAGCCTACAACATCTGGTATCAGTCCCATCACCAGCACAGCTTACTACTGTATGTGTATGTTTTGTTTGTGTAGACACATGCTGTTGGGCATTACAGGATTACAAAAGGATGTAAAAACTGAAACCTTCCTGCTGCGGTTCTTTACTAATCTTTAAAAAATGCTCATGAGTTGCATTCAAGTCTGGAGTCAATTTGGGGCCAGTTGCAAGTCCAGTCATAAGTCTGTTTATGTGGGAGTCCAGCAGGAGCTGCCAACCCCTGATATACAGTGAAGTGTTGGTCACTGGAATCATTCATCCTAATCATACTGGCCATAATTATAAAAAATTTGATTTGCCTTAAATTTTCTTGAAAGATCAGTTGTCATACATTAAATGACTAGTACAAATATCTCATGTTGTTACTAAAAAATTAAGTAAAAAATAAAACAGTTTTCATCATCAGTGTTAATATTAAATCATCTCGTGTCTGTGTTCAAGCTGTTTTGATATTCTCAATATTAATAATACTGCAGATTGTGCTGTAGGCCTACATGTTAACTTTTTTGAAATGATATTTCACATTAGGTATAGGTTTCTGTTAGTGGCATCAATTTTTTTTTTATGTAATCTGTGGTTTGAGCTTTTGAACTAGGAATATTTATTAGTGATTAGAATGGTGACAAGGATTAGGTGATACATTAAAATCCAAACAAAATAAAATACATTTAGTTGAATGCATTTGTCTGCTTTGAACTATAACTTAAGATATACAACCTAGAATATAAAATATTTAAATCTACTGAGCTCAAAAAAGGTGCTCATGGAACCTTGGAGGTCATTAATGTTATAGACTCCTAGAAAAATTCAACAGATAGTTGTAGACAATTAGGTCACTTCCTGTCACAGCTGTAGTAACCTCGATTCAGCCTGACACTTTTGGATTTAAGTAAAAGACAAATTTACTTTCATTGACAGGCTTATAGGTGATGCATGAACAAAGTGAACTGCATTATGGCATCTGCAACTTGCGAGTAACAAGAGTACCGAGTTAGCTTGATGATGTGACAAACTACAGAGTAAATCTGTTCTAATATGATATACTTTATGAGTTTGGCACATAAGTTGGCGAAGGGCTGTGCTTTCAGGTCAGGCGATCTTCAGAAACTCAATGAGGACATCTGCTGGGCATGTGAGGCAGGACACCACACACTGAGCAAAGTGGAACAACAGTCACCTTTTCTTATTCTTTCAAATAAAACATCTTGCAGTCAAGCACTTATTAATAATGGATGTATTCTGTGTAGGTAAATTGTTTGTGCTTCCAAAACGGTTTTGTCACTGTCACTCTTTAAATGAGGGTTTTAACATTTTTTAATCACTACTTGACTATATAGCACTTACACATGAAATAAATTAGAGCAACTTTAAGGGTCAGCTTTAAGGGAGCTATATCTCACTCCATCTGACATGTTTCTCATAGAAAGTCGGAACAATATTACTTTAAAACAGTAGGCAATAGTGGAGCAGCTACTGCTCTTCTTCTGTGGTTTTCCAGGCACGGTAGCTCTGGTAACTGCTTCCTGCGTAGCACAGTGTGGTCAGAAAAGCAAAGAACTGAAAGCAGTGCAAGACAGAAAAGATTAGAAAAAACAAACAGGAAAACAGAAAGAAAAAAGAAGATGAGTGGGAGGAAAGTAGAATTTTGATTTCTTAAAATCATCATTTACTTGAAACAAGAAAGCATCACTCATTATCTGTTTACTCCAACTCAAACAACTAGTAAATTTTGTGTGTCTACATAACATGCAGATAATGCATTTACAGTACGTTAGCCTACTCCAGAACAACTGCTGTGCCTGGGGACCGTCAAATTAAGAGGACGAGGACATTCACTTCACTATTGTAAATGACTTACTTTATTCCAAATTTTGGACAAAATTTTCTGATTTGGTTTTCTTCATTCATTCAACTGTGTCATTACACTGGATTTTATGTTTTCATACTAAGTAATCGCTGGTGAATCTTCGTTCTGCCAGGAATATAGTTCTGTTGTAAGTGGCATCGATATTTTTAAATGTAATCTGTGGTTTGAGCTTTTGAACTAGGAATAGTTCAACTAGTTCTGTTGTAGAAACACTGATGCTAATACTGATACTTTCTATTATATTTTGAATATTTGTTTCCTAAAAACATTTTGAAGGATCGATTTTTAACACAAAATCCAGTTTACTTTTTACTGGGAGTGCTACTCAGCCACTGACAGATACACTTGATTTTCTGTGGCTCTGAAGGGAAGTGTTCCAAAGCTGTCTTTTCTGTGGGGTCCAGTGTTTTTGAAGATACACTCATGCTAGAAAGTCAGGTTAGTCTCTGCTATGATTTTTTTTTATTCATCTCTTGTGCATCCCCCAACTTTAGGGAGAGGAAAATTATTTAATTAGCCTAAAAATGTATAAGAATCAGCCTTAAAACCAACCATGTGTATATGTGCACATTTGTAAAATGTGTATTTTTCTTCAGGCCATTGAAATTATGCTATTCCTAAAACAGTAATGAGGACATGACATTGGTGTCCTCCATCTGCTTTTGCAGAGTTGCACTGTGCTGCAGAAACCCAGGATTAGACTGCACATGTGGCCCTACTGTTGTCTTTCTGACACTGGTGCCGCTCTTGTTGTGCTGTATGTAATGTGGACACACAAACTTTGGTGATAAAATGAAACACATGGATAATAAAAACTTCCTTCCTGGATAAACATTGCCTTCAATATATCATCTGTACTGACAGAAGTGCTCTTACTGCAGATGCTGCCCAGCAGTTGTAGTTGTGTCGCCCCCTAATGGCCTGGGTGACCGAGAGAGCATCTACCAGTGCTGTCACCAGATAGAGAGCTGTAGCACTACAGTTCAAACACAGTGACTACAGAAGAGAAAGACACAGACAATAAATTATAAGACAAAATAGTCTTTAACATTATTTTTTATGCTGCTGTATATGGACTGGGAGCACTTAGTTAAGGTTAGG